CGATTGCGAATTGAAAGGTTCCGACTAGGTGAAGGCGAGGATCAGGAAATCCCCTTGATCCCCTCGTTCGCGGATACCTGGTATTCGAGTATTATTTTATAAACGATCATTCCACGCTCAAGGAAAAATGGAACAAGAAACGCCGTCGGTGTCTCGTTGGCGTGTACTTTGTGACAACGAGGAAATTACTCAACGAGGAGAGGATGTTCTATAATTTAGGAGAGCGAAACGAGAGAGCGACCCTTTCGCCATCAATGGTCATTCCTGCATTCAACAGGTGGTCCAGTTTACGTGAAATGTTGATGAAAACCTTCGACGTGTGCCCATCCTCCCTCCGTCGCTTCCATTGTACGCCAAAGGCGCCGATGGAACTTCGGGAAAAAGGATGCCCCGAGGAAATTACGAGTTCGCGTGGAAACTTTTCGCGATTCTGACATCGATAGCTATACCTATCAACCTATCGAATATCAACTTTACTCGCGAATCGCTTCGGCAATCGATCAGCTTACGATGTGCCATATCGATTTACCTAGTCGCGAAGATATTGCTGTGCTCGTTCGTGAAATGAACGTGGAGGAAATTGAGGAAAAGGAGCGCGCGGAAAGTTCGGGAAAACGAAATCTTCTTTGGCTTCTTTTTGTTTGAAATCGGAGGGTCGCCTCCTACAGAAATCACTGGTTTCAGTCTGTGCTCGTAAACCGAGACGATGAGTTGACTCGACTTATTGGGACATATTTTGATAAAGTAATTATTAAAATTCCTAATAACATGTTTCGCGATCCCACCGCGTGCACGGACAAACGCGTATCAGGTCAGATTCCAGAAGAGAGAGAGATTGCTGCACGATATCTAAAAAAACTCTCAAGTATCAAAGAGAAGATCATTAAATCGCGCGCATTGTGGGGCGCACGTTGTTTTCATTGGATCTCAAAAGTTCTTTGACTGGAATTGACCCGGTTTTCCCCATCGACGATCGGCGATTCGAAATGAATTTTTTACTCACAAATTGATGGTCCCTCGATAGTATTGCATCGATTTTCGCCGTGTTGTTCGTTCGTTGCCCCCTCTCTCTGTCACGTCCTTTCATCGGAAAGCGAACGAGCGTCGTTCCGTTTCGTTTTCCCCTTGATGCCACGCGAATATCGATTTCACCGGACGACGGTGAACAGAACCTGATCGAACGTCCGCGGACGAAAGGAATGCCGTTTGGAATCTTCCGCGTCCCGATACGAAGAAACACGTGTTTCCTCAGGACAATTTATCCCTGTATTCACGTTCCATATTCGTCGAATGTTTACTCCCTCTGTTATCGCGAAACGTGACTTTAATCTCGCAGTTTATACGTACCGCCTCTGGGCGTTTACTCGTACGAAGAACGAAACGAGAATGCAAGATGTTCAGATTCAACCACGATATGCTCTCATGTTGTTTCAGTGTCCACCTGCTTTATGAGTTTCGTCTTCAAAAAGCAATCTCCGTGTGTTGAATTTTCTTCTCTTTCTTTTTTTTTTTTCTTTTCTTTCTCTTTTTGCTCCTGGCGAGACTTGAACCGCGATCGAAGTGCGAAGTTCGAGATCGTTTCTCTTACCCAGACTGGAAATTCGATGCCTGATTATAGGTAGTTGACGACGAAGAATCACCTTTGGTCTGTCGACGATGATGGAATTCCTCGTTGTTTCGCGGAATCACTTCTTCTACTTCCTTGTTTGATTGCGAAAGGTGAAGTTGTCAGGACGTTTGGCAGGTACAGGAAAGAAAACGACGAAGTAGTCAAGTTGTCGGAGCTATCGAATCATAGAGATTGGAATTGGAGAATTTCTTTTTGCATTTAACTTCCTCGTCTGACGTGTTGCGCCTAGCTGAAAGAGCAAAATTTGCACGTTGATTTCGTCGAAAGGAGATTTGCTTCGAGGATTCGGAGATCTTGGAACTCCGTAGTATAGTAATTTGTACTAATCAGACAGACATTTTTTAACTTTCAATGATCCTTATTTTTATAATTAAACAAAGACTTAATTTATTTACCTAAATATTTAATTTACGTATATTTATATAAATAAATATTCTCAATAAATAAATATTCTCAAACTCACAACCATTTTCTCAATTACTCGAACTATACTTTCCACAGAATTCTACTCTAATATCCAGATATCTCCTATTCTCCACTTTCTAAACCTCACTCTCGCCTGCTCAATTATCCAAAAAAAAAAAAAAAAAAAAAAAAAAAACTACTTTCGATAAATCCACTCGTGAATTTTCTCAGCCATTCCTCGAATCCCTTGACCAGCAGAAAAGATGCAAAGACTTACTGGCTGGAGTGCAGCGACACTAGCGCCAACAGTGACCCTAACTCCGGCGAGCTTATTGGGGCGCATCTGGGTCGTTGTTGGGCTCGTCGTTCTCCCTCTGGCAGGCAGACTCCAAGTGCTTGTTCAGGTATGATTTCAGTGCGAACGATTTGTGACACTTGTGGCACTCGTAGTTCTTGTCCGTGGAGTGGGTCTGCATGTGGGCACGCAGATTCGACCGGTCGGCGAACGCTTTGCCGCAGTGCGCGCACCCGTACGGCT